CCGAGAACCGGGATCATATATTATATTCCACCCAGATAGTCGGGCATCGAGCCCCTGTCCACTGAGAGCGGGCCTCCTGGAGATAGGGGAAGAGCCCCTTGATCCCCATGGCATATCAACATGGATCTACAGCGCCGAAGCCGGAGTGTGCCATTTGTCACAAGCACCAAAAAAATTCCGTCGAAAAGTGGGAAAAACAAGTGTCTGAACAGCGGAAAAAAAGGTGGTTCTAGGCGGGTGCATCCGAAGCTCAAGATGCTCCTTGAATCGGGATGGACAGTGATGGACAGTTAACTGGGACTCTGGGTCGGAATCAGGGAAGGCAGGAGCTTACATTTAGGGTTTANNGTTTAGGGCTCAGGGTATAGAGTTTAGGGTTTAGGGTTTTTGGAAACGTGCTCAGCGATTTATCTTGCAGTAAGATGCAATGCCTTGAAGTCATGTTCGAGCCAACCGCGCCGGCACAAAAAAGCCCTTGTGCTGTAGCACTCACAGACATGCATTCTGATGTGCGCAATGCGTAAGCGTGTGAGGCGAAACCTTCATACATAGAACAGCTGAATGAATGAGCGGCTGACGCTTGCTTGACTGAATGCATTGACGAGCGCAGAGGCTAGGAGATAAAGAAAGCACAAGTGGATGATTGAACGAATCTACCAAGGCTTGAACCAATGTTACATTGAGTGGATAAGCGGATCGAAGCAGTGAGTTGCCACTTGAATGACTATCTCTTAAATGAGCCATCACATGTGTGATGGAACCGGGTTCCTAAGGAATGAGTGGTAGAGTATTTTCGGTACATTAAGCAGACCCCTATGTTGGACCCGCACCCAATACATATGTATATATCCGCAAATATACATATATATCTTGGACATATATAAAGATGCAAAGACAGAAGAGATGGGTAGATAGATAGGTAGATAGATAGATAGACAGATAGATAGATAGATTAGAGAGAGAGAGAGAGAGAGAGAGAGAGAGTGAGAGATATATACATATATATATAGAGAGAGAGAGAGAGAGAGAGAGAGCACAGTACTGCTAAAACCCCAAAGCTTGATCTTCCCCTAAACCCGAAACCTTTTCAGCTTGGGGAACTGAAAAGGGCTCTGAGTCTTCGCCTCATCTTAGTACTCGAGGTTCGACTCAAGGTTTAGGGTTTAGGGTTTTAGGGTTCCACGTTGGGGTTGCTCAAAATGGGGGGCCCCAGCCCTGGGGGATATGTGGGCACTTTTTGGGGGATATAAGGGTCCTCAGTAAAGCTTGCGGAAGGTTTATTTCGAACAATGTAGGATAACGCCCTATTTAGCTGAAGGTCTTTCGGGTCTCGCGTAAAACCCTGAACCCTAAACCCCAAGTAAGCCTTGCGCCACATAAGCCTTGCATTGCTCAGTGTCCTGATCCTCAACACAGGCCTGCTTGGGTTTAGGGTTCGGAGAAGCTAGAGGTTCTCCCGTGTGAACCACAAACAATCATTCGGAACAGGCATCTTGCAGGGGAAACTAACCTGGATCATGGTAAACTGCTCTCACAAAGCTTATGCGTTTACCGATTTCCCCTCATGTGGTGTTTGTTTTGTTTGGTCTTGGGCTCCAGAAAGGTGCAGGAGCCATGCTGCGCGAATTGAACGGGCTTAGAGATATGTAGCATGCATAGCCCTTTTTGCAAGAAGACGTCCTAAGGCAACACCTTTTTGGCAGGTCTCGATAAGCATCCCATCCTTCCCAGGTCCCATAGCGCAAGGACAGCGCAGTCCAGCAAGGGAATTTGGAATTACTCCGAAGGTTCATGTAATTCCCAGTGCCCATACCTGCAGTTTTGGAAGCTGTTTTGCTTACCGCGCTTCTCAGTACTGAGAAGAATGAGAGGCGACTGCGCCTAGGCAGCTGCACGAATTAAGACCGAAACATTGGCGGCCTGCAACGCAGGCAGAGCTTTACACGTGTGTGCCTGCAGTCTCGTAGGCACATGTCAGGGAGAGCCCACGTGCCTGTGGACATGGCTGCAGCTTCAGTGCTGTCACAGCGGAGGGCTCGTCACCCGAAATGGAAAGACGACGCAGCCAGGGTTTGGGCAGATAGTCTGCTGGAGCTTTCATCAAACATGGTGAAGGAACAAGTTTAGCAAGTTCGTCATTGCTTAGAGCCCCGAGAACGAAACCCTTCGTCTGGACGTCTCCTAACAATACTAGTAATACTAGTCATAATTATGATAATTCTATTCGTAATAATACCAGTAGAAATAGAAATAGTCCTAGAATGTCCTCTCCAAGGTGTCCAACGTAGCACAGCGCGTGGCGAACTTTGCCAGGCTGGTGGACAAGCTCACCGCGTCCTCTCCCAGGTTTAGACACCCTAGGCCTCCAGGGGTTTGGGGCTAAGGGTTTAGGTTGTGGGCCGGGGGCCTCCAGCTACCGAAATTTTGGGTTCTAGTCTGTAGTATATGGGTGTGTTCATATAGGGGATATGGGCCGGTAAACCATGAACTTAGCAACTGGAGGCCTAGGGACATGTTGTAGCAAGTCAGATCTATAAGTCGAGGGTCTTAAGGACATAGGGCGTGCCAGGTAGAATGGCCGAGGGTCAGAGATGAATATAAGGGAAATCTTGAGCCCTAACACCTTAAAGAGTACCCATCCCTAAACCCTAAAACATAAATCATTGACAAAGCAGTTTTAACCAATGTAGGTAAGGCATCCTTCCACTGCGAAAGCAGACCAGCGGACTCATCAAGAATCATCCAGCGAAGGGTCTTGTTGAAGTCAGCGACATTCTGGATCTTGCTGAGGATCATAGCCACATCTTCTGCTCTAGATGCTTTCATCTCTTGAACGCAGAGCCGCTCCAATGATCTACTGTGCTCGTTCATAGATCTGCTAGAGGGGACTTTGAGGAGCTGCGGTATGTCTTGGCTGTATGCCAGATAAATCTCAGCAACACACCAGGCGCGGTGAAACAACGTGAACCCGTCGTCTACAGCAATAACCTGCGAAAACTTTGGGACACTTGTCATTAGACACAACATCATGTCATCAAACTTGTTCAGCTCACATTCGATGCTTTCGCCGTCCTCCCTCAACGGCGGCGTATGGTTCCAGAGCTTCGGGTGCTCACAGCAGCAGCCGGCATTGCTACAAATGCTCGCATGTTGGTTGATGCAAAAAGCACACACCCAGTAAGTCACATCCAAAGCACCTTTCTCCTGCAACTCCTCTGTCACCTCCTGCAGCTTGCCAGCTAGCAATCTCTTCGCAATGTCTTCATAAGTGGGCTCATCGAGCCCATCGGCAATGATTGCCGCCAGCAAGTTGACAAACTTGTTGGACCAGGAATGCGTGACCATGCGTTGGGCAGGAAGTGTTCTTCCCCGCATCAGCTTCGTGGACAGCGCAATGCCAGACGCAGCTGTTTCTGGAATCACGGCCTGCCAAACCACATCTGCTGTTGTGTGATGCTCAGCATCGTAGTTGGTCATGTATTTCTCGCCCAAGCCTGCATAGAAGCTGAGAATGGTCCTAAGAGGCAAGCCGCGAGCTGACAACTCCGCCACCTTTCTCTCCCACCCTGCGCACTGTACCTGAGCTCTGTTGAGCTTCCTGGGCTCCAATTTCTTGCGCTTTGGCAAATGAATGAGGTTTGACAGAAAGAGCAACGCACAGGCGTTCGTGATCAAGTCCAGGCCGAAGGTAGCTGTTTTGAACAGCTCGTAATCGGGGTCTGCAGCACCAGGGTGGTACGCCCAGATAAGATGGGAGTAGAAGTCGCAGGATGTCGACAGAAGGGTCGTGCCAGCACACATTGTAGTTGCTGTCAGGTGCGCGATCACGGTGCGCACAGTGAGTCGCGCAGTCTCCCGGCGACGCCCGTAGGACTCCCGTACGACGGCAGTTGCCAACCTGATAAACCGTCGTGAGATACCGAGCAGGAGAACAAGACACTCAAAACCAGTGAGCATACCCTAAGGCTCCAGAAACCTAAATAATGGGTTCCTGGGGTTGAAACATAAGAAAAAAGGGGTTCATAGGGGATATATGACCCAGAAAACACAAGTTAGATAACCAGGAGCTCTGGGGATTGCAGCCCAACGGCCACAGCCCTCCCCTAAACCCTAAACCCCAAACCCTAAACCCCGCGCGAAACGGCCTCAGAGGGCCCAGGTGGACCAAAACTGCGATTGCCAAGATCAAAACCTGGGAGTTTCTCAACATGTTGGGGCCCTAGAAGACCCTAAGGGATAGGATTTAGGGTTTAGGATTTAGGGTTTTGGGTTTAGGGTTTAGGGTTTAGGGTTTAGGGTTGAGGGGTTCGGGAGGGAAATGTGGGGATTATAAGGGAGATACAGCGGTCTTGACTAGGGACTAGGGGTTATGTAAGGAGTATGCTGAGGAATACCCACTTCAGTTGCGCTGGTTTACCTGGACCCTCCAAAGTAAGTCTCAGTCGGGTTTAGTATAGTCCCGTTGGTCTTTGGTTAGGACGGCTAGGATACCGTAGTTCCTTCTTGGGCTTAGTATGGTCTTCTTCGTTAGGCGAATTTGATGTAGCTGCTTTTTGGACTCAGTATGGTCTTTTCGAGTAGGATTCTTACGAGGACCCCCTAAAAGGTACTACAGTGGAGGGTCTAGGTAGGATTTTCCGATTTGGGGCTAAGGGTTAAAGTTGCCAGATTCAGCGTTTCAGGGTGTGGGATTCAAGGTTTCACAGCTGGGGCTTGAGAGGTTTCAAGTGCAAGGCCTCGGGGAAGCATGTTGAACTGCACATGATACGAGTACTTAGAATGTATTGTTAATGGGTGGCACGGGTGGGAGCAATAAACCACCACAAAGCAAGACCGCTTCTAGCAAGGGCCCAGGAACGCTGACCGCAGCCAGGAGCAGCATCAGAATGCTCCCCGTGGTACCCAAGCGCTCGTTCTTGGGCTCCCACATCAGGCGGTACCCCGAAATCAAAGTAAAGACCAGCAGCACAACCAAGTCGGTGCGGAGCAACCAAGCTAGAATGCCCTTCCACCTGCTGGTCCAAGCGCCTAATATACTTAGCACTTAGGGCTCCGGGAATAGAGAGTTTAACATAAACTGTGAAGGAGTACACGACAGTTGGGTACCTGAGCCCTTCCGGTTCATGAAGGTTACGCATCGGTATAGGGGTGGACACGGGATTTTTGCAGGGCTCATGAGTTCAACGGTTCAAGATTGGAGAATATCGCTCTATAGTTGAGGGCTATACGCAAAGCCCTTGCTGCGAGGAGCCCTTCGGGACCCCCAGGGAATGTGGGGATAATAAAGGGGATATAGAGGTCCTTGTTAGGGATTTTCTAGGGATTATTGTGAAAATACCCATTTGGGGCCTCAACATGGTTCCCAAATACTTCGTGGCCCAATCGTATCCTGTTTGGAGTGTTGGACCTGGACCTTTCTTCGGGCTGGAAAGACCGTCAAGACCATACCCTAGACCCTCAAGCGTGATATTGAATTGCAAGCCATCGCACCTATGGCATTCGAGGCCATCTTCGATAACAACCGCTCTGTCCCGTACCATCCACGAAAGGAAGATGATTGATGATGCTAGCGCAATCTGTCGGGCATTCCAAGAGATTCCGCAAAGCGTCTGCAGAGCTGAATAGTCACCGCCTCCACACCATTGGCAACCCCGGTCCAAACCTTAGGCTTGGCATCCATACCTTTCTTCGCCTCCTTAACTGTAGAATGTCGCTCAGAAGCCAAAGAGGGTAAAAGAGTACAAGCCTTCCTGCTCATCCTCGTCCTGATGCTGCTACTAATAGTACTACTACTACTACTACTACTACTACTACTACTACTACTACTACTACTTCCACTACCACTACCACTACCACTACCACTACCACTACGACTACCACTACCACTACTTGAAACTGCACCACAAACCAGAATACATGCTCATATAGAGAACCCCGTAGAACCGCACGATGTTATGACTTCCCTCTGCAGCTTCCCCCCAGTGTCTGCAGCGATCCAGACGAAACAGTTATGACTTCGACCCTGGACAGTAGCAGAAGAATCATTGAGGGTAGTTGGGGTGTGAGTTCAGCAACCCTAAACCTTGTAAAACCCGAGATAAAGTACAAACTGACTTATTAACGATGTTTGGGCTTTCAGTCGGAGGAGAGACATGTGATTCCAGCTCAAAGCCAGGAGGCGCAGCCCAGTAACTTCCTGAGCACGCGCGCGTAGGGTTCAGGGGCTCAGGGTTGGGCTTGAGGGCCTCTGGAGAGTCTAGGACTCAGGGGAGGGTTTAGGGTTTAGGGTTTAGGTGCTCAGGGTTGGGCTTTTGGGGTTTGTGGCTCAGGATTTGGAGGCTAAGGGATTGATAGTCTAAGATAAGCTGCTAGACAAGAATCGAAAAGCAAGGTCATAAGCACGCGTTCGCAAGCAAGCATTATACCTATAGAGGCAGTAGTATACTGTCGACGGGCGGTCCCTGTGTGATTCTGAGCGGTCCATAATCCTGCCGCTTCTTCAGAAGTCAATCCCGAATCCCGCAGAGCCGGGAAATAGGTTTGATTGTACCTACCGTAAATTACCAAACCCTGCTTTTTTGTAGGTTCCTATTATAGACCCTACATATTATGGAATTTATAGGGACCCTACAAAAAAGTAGGTTTTGGTAGGTTAAGGTAGGGTTTAGGGCTTGGGGTAGTTCTAACAAACAGCGGGTTTGTCCTGCACTGTTTCGAGGCAAAGCCCCTGAGAACCTGGACATCCTGTGCTACTGAAATAGCAGGACGGCATCGAAAAGACAGAAACCGTGAGCAACCCTGTGTGTCAGCCTCGTGCTACTGCTCACAAACAGTATGCTGAGAACCGCGCTATGAAGTAAAGACAGCAGAGTGAAGTGGATAATTCTCTCGTCCCGCAAATGCAGAGGACCATACATAATAACTTAAGCGCTTGCAGCCACAACTCTCTTGTGCAAAAGAATGTAATGAAGGTAATAGACTGCATGTCTAGGCACAGATGCCTTTAGAGTCTCAAAGACACTATACCTGAAGCGCCCATGGCTGAAATTCCTTCCCCGCTTCCTGAGCCATACTTACACTTACCCTAAAGCCTATGACCCCCAGCCTACATCCGAGGCCCTGTTTTGCTACTGGATTCACGTCTAGCCAGACCACAACCTGCAATCTGGGCGAAAATCTAAACCCCAATCGTTCCCAGTGCTGAGATCGTAGACTCGATGGCTCTCTTGGGCTTTGAGGCTCAGGAAGTTGAGAGAATATGGCGGCCTTACTATACGGCTACTTGGAATAGGAGTTGGGTGTTAATCATCGTGCAGGGGACCCTATACTATTCAGGATGTTGACAACCACTGCTCTCACCCGGCACGAGCGGTGTATGCCCTAGTTTTGTTACTTAGGATTCAAGTGTTTGGGGTTTATGGTTTATAGTGCTCAGAGGGTTTTGGGACCCCTAAAGTCCCTAAAGCAAACGAGCAAGTCTGCGACATTTTGCTGCATTCTGCATCTGCATCGAAACTGCCGGGACGCATGCTCACAGGTCCCGAATTATCTGAACACGTTCAGGGTTAAGGGATTTGTTTGGCCTATAGGGCTCACATAAGGGCTTATAGGGTTTGGGGATTACAAGGTTGAAGGTTTACGACTTAAACTGTTGCCGCGGATGTATATAGGGATTCTGCTTCGAGAGCTTTGCCAGGGGCATCTTACCATTCGCCTCCTTCTGATCGTTTGCCCATGAAATCTGCTCTAAGTCGGAATCCGATTACATCCGAGTGAAACTCGAGCATCTCGCGCTGGTGCTCCTCGGTATGACCTGGCCAGTGAGGTGCGGCTTGGAAGGGTTTTGGGGCTTTGGACTTATGAGGGTTGTGGTTTAGGGATTTAGGGTTGAGTTCAGAGGGTTTTGGAGTTTGGGGCTTAGGGTTGTGGTTTCTGGGATTTAGGGTTGGTATTTTTTGGCCCGCCAAATTGGGGGGGGGGTTGGGGGGGGGGGGGGGGTTTGGGATTATGCATGGTGTTGCAGTCTCTCCGGCGGTCTCGGAGGTAGAACTTGGAGCCTCGACTACAGCTTCATTGCGCAGTAGTGTGGATCAGCGATTCGGTCGTCTAATTGCTTCGACATTACAAAGAGATGCGTGGGTCTGGGTTTAGCTTCTGGTGCTTGGGTTTGGGGTTTCTGAGGCAGCGCTCAAGGTGCCCTTGAAAAAAAGGCCGTATGGTCCCGATCAGTGGGAACTTATTAACTATGATGGTGTTTAGCCCTGAGCTTCTTTCCAGACTATGGGGTTCAGGGAAAATGCTGTTGAGACAGAAGCCAGCGAGGGGAATTTGTATGCCCCCCCCATAAACTGCTACGTCAACACGCCCCTGAAACCACGATGTCCCCTGCTTGAAGTTCCTTTGTGTGGAACCCTATAGTGAGTTGTGGGATTTCTGAGTCTCTGTACCCCAACACAGGAAAGACATGTTCGAAAACCTGGACTGAACGAGAGTATTCATGCCTGGGTACACCCCTCACGTTTTTCCCCAAATCCCTTTCCAACAAGAACGACTCTGTAATTTCCGAATGGCTGCCAGACGAAACCCTAAACCCTAAACTACACTAACTATCTATATATATATATATATGTGTGTGTGTGTATATATATATATGTATATATTATATATATCTTTATATTTATCGATCTCTCTCTCTCTCTCTATATATATATATGGATGGTTAATGCAGGGATAGTAACCTGCTACATAGGCAAGTGCGCTTCCAGGGTTCTTTCCAAGGATCCATCAGGGCAAACCGGAAGTCTCGGTTTGCCAGGCTCCCCTATGGCCCTATGTAGGGGCCTTAATAATTAGAATAGGGCTTTGGGGTATGTTATACTATATAACTCTAAGAAGGAACCCCCCAAAATAGTAAGGCCCCTATAGTATTGAAGGAGCCATTGCTTCATCTCCTCGTCACAACAAAAGAGGCACCACAGCTGTAAGCCAACAGACCAGTTGGAAGGCTCTGGGCGAGAAAGGAACCACTGGTTCCACCAACAATAAAGCAAATAATCACCCCACTAGCCAAAACGAGACTGCACAAAGCAGATTCGGCGCAGAACACTTCTTTGGCCTTCCGAATCCCGCTCTGTTCCATTTGTCCACGCAGAGCAACGCCTCGAAGCGAACAAAGTTCTGCAACTCCGATTAAAGCCCCTGAAAGCCTCCAAACCACCATGAAAGTCAGAAGTCTCCGAACCCCCGCCTGACAAGGGGGTCGCGCGTGGATCTCTGACGTTCAGGTCAGGAAGTCGTACTGGGAGCACGTCGAGACAGACCTTCGAAGGCACCCGTTCTGGGGCTAGGGCGGGGGGGGGGGGCAATAAGCAATGCTGTAGAGTGAAGGGGTCTTTTTATTCATCCTGGTGTTGTAGTTCCGGGCGTTTTGGACGCTCGGAGTTGCGGGATTGGTGGCGTTCGAGGTTCAGTGNNAAACTCAAGAGCCCTATAAAACCTTAAACGCTAACACCCATAAGCCCATTTTTGCTGCAGGCTTGCATGAACCCTAGACCCATGGAAAAAAACCGTCGCTTTTTCGATATATTCCTTTTGGAGCCGAAGCCATGGGTCGCCTGGGCGTCGCCAAGTCGGAGCGAAGGCTAAGTTCTCGGAGGCTGGGCACCTGCGGCTCCAAACAGCCCTTGAGGGGTTTGGGGTGTACGGGATTTGGGTTTAGGGGCTTTGGGCTTCGGGATTAGGGTTTAGGGTTTACGGGATTAAGGTTTAGGGGTGTCGGGTTTAGGGGTTCAAGGTTTATAGGAGTTTTTTAAGGTCTTAGCTCTTCTGGGTTTCGGGTTTTAGGGTTAACAGCCCATTCAAGAACTCTGCACGGGTTCTATACGGTTACATCGTAACTAATAACAGTTTTGTGTGAACTTGAAAGCGTGTGCGCGAGTTTTACTTGCCAGCTTCATAATGATTTTACGGGGTTGAGCTCTAATTGTATAGCGTTCTGTCAAGTTTTCATACGGTGTTTAACGGGGTTTCGAAGTTTCGAACGGTAAGCAGCTGTTTTGTGTAGGCTGCCGACCTGGGTCAAAAACATTCGCAACTGAGGCAAGCCTGGCGAAGCTACGAGTCCGAAGAGCAGCACACTGGCCCGCTACAATAGTTCCTTTCAGCTGCGGTGGAAACATGCCCACTATCTGACACTGACATGTTGCCCTAAACCCTAAACTGCAGCATGACCGTCGATCTCATGCCTCGTCCACACTACTTGGGCAAGCTGATGCCTCGGATGTCAGGTCACAGCGGTCTGGGATTTAGATGTCAGGTCACAGCGGTCGGAGATTTCAGGTTCAAAGCCTAGTCCGCCTCAGGCCTGCTTACCCCTTTCAAGGCCTTCTTCCCGGGATCTTCCCTAAACTCTAAACAACTAAACACTGAACTCTAAACCTAAAGCCGACAAAGGGCATCGATTCTGAGTTGTATGGTTTAGTTGGGGGCCTGCTTTCGAACTCCATCGCCTCCCCGCTCCCCAGTACCTCCTAGCTGCTAC